CAACTGTCGCCGATACTGATGACGACCTGGCCGGGGACTGCACAGACACATTTTTCAGTGGAAATCCCCGGTGCGCAACCGACCAATCGCTATCCAGCCGTCACCCTCCGGATTTGCCGAAACCGCCCCACGTGAGCTATGGTTTTGAAACAACCGTTGTGAAACACCTGAAAATACCATGGTTCCGTTACTCAATCAGGCCAGGTCCTACAGCCATACAAAAGAACAGCCCATACTACAGCCTGATACACAAGTAGCATGCTATTTCCGGACATAATGCCTTGACGCCATAAGTGTTTCGAATAAGAAACGCAACCCGTGAACGGCCTCATCTGCCAGACTACGACCAAAACTAATACAACTTCGAATGTATATAAAATGCCGCACCACAATACTTTTTCAACCGGATCAGGAAAACATCTGCGACCTTATATTAGCTTTGATCTACCTCTGAGGATTTCCTCGGCCAGCCGAAATATCTCTCATCCTCCTCCTCAGAATTGCACGTCCAAGCTGAATCATCTCAAAAGTGACGTCTGTGATGGGGCTGTCCAGAAACCAAAGTATTTCAGGGCAATGATGGCATGGTACTGCTATACCCAGTTTGAGAGCACACCCGCAACTATGCCCTTCTTTCCTTTGACTGTATCCTGTCATTCACTCGTTCCATTACCTGCAACGACGAACAAACTCACGCTTTATTCTGGCTAGCCTTATGATCATGCCCATCAACGACAATACCAAAGAATGCACGGTTGACATCTTTCACGTATACTGCATGCCCTCGTACCAAAAAATACATTTTTCGAATGATGAACCTCATAGTCTGCCTTCCGTAGTGAAGGGAAAACTAAAATGGGGGCAACCTTTGTCGGACGCCTGTTCTTGCTCTAAGCTTGCTTTAGTAGTAGTATATTTCCCTGGCCACCTCTCTATTAATCGGAAAAAACACTGATAGATGGAAAGATGTTACGATAAGACGCGATATTACCCTCAGAGACAACTAGTTTTGCACAGCTCCATTCTGAGCTCAGCTTATTGTACAAACACGCAACTCCACCAGATATATCTGATCTTGTCTCTGCGAGTTCGAGGCTACCTCAAATGCGCACGATCTAATCAATGCACGTCCCTCATGCCCACCTTGACTACTCCAGAAACTGCTAGGCTACCAGTTTGCATCGACCGTAAAACTATTGTCTGCAAGTAAATATCGATTACCGTTCTTGAAATCGAGCAGTGTCGCCTCTTTGAAAGCGTTGGGAATTGTGACAACTTTTGACTGTCTGTTATTTCGGGCAGCATTCTAAATCAAATCAATATGCTTTCTAGCAAAACTCTTGGTCATTTTTTCTATTTTGTGTCCCCAATGTAGACACGGCTGCCTTATTTTCTCGTTGTAACGGCAGCGACGAACCGCCGTGAGATCCCGATAGACCCAATAATACAATAACCACAAAGGCAACCGTAAACGGCTCATCCAAGTTGTTCGTGTATGAGGCTGTTCATGAACCGGACTACGGCGTCGCGACGACGGTGTTGCAGCTGCCATAACTAATCTGATGACATTTTCGTAGTTCACTATACCTCTAATATTTTTCAGACAAGCGTGCTACCCATGAGACGTTTCAGTCCGTTTAATTTCTGCAAGGACATGAAATCAGCGGCCATTGCATCGCGCCATCAGCTTGGTCTGCCCACAAATCCAATAGTTCAACAAACGGCACTATTGATGGCTCGGTATGTCGGCGAAGACCAAAACTTGCCTTAGGCCAGATGTAGCGCATGTTGACAATTACAAAAAAAAAACTCACAAAGGCGACTATTCACAAGGTTGCTGAAAATTCTACGACTTACAAGCTGTGACGAATGTTTTGGCTTTAGCGGGACGCTAGCCGCATCCGTACAAGAATTTCTCGTATCCAGGTCGCGAATGGCCGCTCGAGTGGATGTAACGACCGTGATTATTATCTAACCCGTTTTGAGAAAACACGCGGGAAACCAGCTTTTTCACAAAATTTCCCACCGTTTTCATAGAGATAACGCGGGAAGCAGCCGGCAGCAATTAGAATACGAATTTTGCGCCCACGATTGGCTTCAAATTGGTTTAAACAAATTCCAATAGACTGCAGCTGCCTGGGAAGATCTTAAGTGCTCGAATAATTGCCATCAAGCGCTAAATATTTATGTCAAGTTTTCCCTACTTGAAACACGGTTTAAGAGGAAGTTTTAGGCGTACGTCTACGGCACGGCAACTGTAGACACGTTCGTTTATTTAGCTCATAGTATCTTCTTGTCATTTACGAAAATGGTCTTGAAAATTTGGTCGAAGGCTTTATTTGGCCATTCCTGAATTGTCCGATCTTTGGAAGAGCGATGTTTGTTGTCACAGCCAGTCAAAGTACGAGATAAAATGTGTAGTCAGTCAACGTTTATTTAGCTGATATCAATACTCAAGCGATGCACCGTCGAGCTATTCCTCCTTTAGTATTCTTGACGCAATGTGTAAGGATAGCGTCGGCATTGTTTGTTACAACTATCTGCTTTCTGAGTTTGAGTCACGCTTGCCAACCCAGGAAAACGACCAAGAAATCAGATTCTGGAACCACGGTACTATTGCAAATATAATAATATACATATTCAACAAACCCCAACGGATTCTCCCCTGCAGATACCGTAAGGTTACAACATAAGGCGGTACAATCACCAGCCTGAGGATACACGCAGATCACTTCGCCTCAAAATCGATATCGTCACAACCAAACAGATAACGACGGCGAGCAACCGCAAAAATCACAATGTACGACCAAAGTCCGTAAGAGTTATAAGAATAGTTCAGTAAAACAAGAAGGTTTCAGTTCATCTGGTCAAGGGGAATTGGTGTGACATGCGGTTGGAAACGGGGGCTTATTGTTGGCAAGCTGTCTTCTACATTGGTAGGAATGAAAGGCCGACATTCACTTGTCCGTGTTCTGCGAAATTCCTTCGACCGTCCTTCGCAATAAACGTAAGTCATTGCGCAACGTGGACTTTGACATACACGGCTTCAATTTAAATTTAACGCGACTGCAGTCCAACACCCGAGATGCATTTTAACAACCGTGCACCGAACATGTGCTCAATTTATAGAAATTCGAAGTTTGAAAAAAACTGGTCTCAGAAGACAAAAAAGGCCACTCATAACGTTTGTGTTGCTCTAGTGAAGTACTGGCGCTCAACGTATCCACAGATTATGGCATCTGATGCCGAGATACTGAAGACTTCCCTGTGTTATTGGAAGAATTTGGGTTCGCGGTTCATCCAAAGTATCACCTCCTCGTGCTCTGTGTAAGTGAGAGATGGTCTCGTCGGGGTGGTCTCATGAGCCAAATTTCCAGTACAGCCATGAGATTGGACACCGTAGGGCTGGCTGGTTTCTTGGATTTCGTTTACTAGAAATTTCACCCTGAAGTTTTCTGATCAGCTTAAGCTGGACTTCACATCCAGCTAAGCACCGGTACTCTTCGATCATTTGTCTGGACCACCCAGTTGTACTGTTTTTTAAATCTATAGATTGGGCTCAGTGGGGGAACCATGGACTTACAAAGCGGGAATGTTTGGCATGAAGGCATGCTCGACTAGGCGAGATTACCGGAGTTCGGCCTGTGGCATGCAGTCTGTCAACCACTGGATTCCTCCTTCACGGGGAAGGGCAATGTTCACTGATTAATCATCCGCTTACTTCTATAGTCTATCGGCTCTAGACCTCCCTCGTACAATCACCAGGGCTTTCGGGCATAAATGTGAACTGCAAACCTTAGTCCACATTACATTTTCGGGGACCCATTCGCAGCAAAATTCTCCTAACTGCAAAATCTTCACAAATGGAATAAAACTTTTCGCGCCAAAATGTTGCGTTTTGTTGCGCATGTGCTCAGGCCAAAAACCATCCTGATCTACGTTCATAATTTTGCGGCTCACCAGATTTCATTGTCCACTAGAGCAATAGTACTTCTGGCGAAAAGTCTGGTAGAATAATACCCCAGCAACCTTGAGACACCGGTGTGCCTAAAAGGGGCTCAAAAGTTTGGTCTGGTACTATCGAATTAAATGCGCGATTACCTTAATACATCAGGGACACGTCAGAGCCTTCGAAAATTCCACTTCGTTGCGCGAATAGCGGGCGCCCACCGCTTTCCTTAACACAATTGAGCAGCTACCCTCTGTAAACTCTTTCTGTGGTGGTTCTGATCATTCCTAGCTCTGGATTTCTTTTCTTGTACGCGTGCCGATGTGGAATAAACCTCGAGAACCGATTTTGTCAGCTGCCCCACTTACTTGCCTACTTGAGAAGCCCCTTCTTCTCTGCTCTCCCACCTCTTTGAGACTCCCAGACGTTCATGAGTTTTGTTCTACGTCGTGAGCAGGCTCTCACGTTCTTGCATAAATAGGATATGCACTAGCTTACCTCTACTTGCGTGAGTCACAAACCCTGGGTTCCAACCGATTCTCAGTATTTGCACAATAGAATAGAATTTACGAAAGTTACGACGTGTTTCTGATGGGATAAAACAGACAGTCCATTGAGTTCCGAGTACACGTCCAAAACTTTGAGCCCTATCTGGCATACCAGGGTCCAAGTAATCGTAGCAAAGTATTCTACCACAATATTTTTGCCCTGGTTATGGTCGCTTCAGTGGGTAATGAAATTTAGTGATTTGCAAACATATGAAAGTAGACTGGGATGGCTTTCTGGTCGAGCATATATGCAACAAAATGAAACATTTTGGAGGACAAGTTTTATTACATTCGCAAAAAGTTTGTAACTAAATGCATTGTGCGGCCAAGGGGCCGCGATCCAACCAGTGGGATGTTGGAGCTCGATAGTTTTATTTCCGCTCGTATATATGAATGCCTGTGGATACGATACCAACAGATCCTACTCTTGCATACATGTACCCAAATTTTGGACATTACCGTACGAATGCGTTTAACGTATTGTCTTGATGTTTAAATATGTACTCCGAAGACGTTCTATTTCAAATAACTCCATTGATTTCGCGATGGTGGAGGCTGTGGTACAGAATGACGAAACTCTGGTAATTACGATAAAATTATCGTGCTTTCATTCCTCACAGACTAACTGCAGGATGCGATAGTCATGAAACATTTTCTAGCCTCTTTCAATAACATTTCTTTAAAAGAGTTATTACCAAATGTGCATATATCCCACCACAACAGCTATATGGCCCTTCCGCACGTTGGCAGAATTTCAGGACTCTATGCAACATTGCTGGTGTTAAAACCTGAGGCGTGTAGGATGATGCTCTTTGGGTCCTACAGTCCTAGTAAAATATTTGTTTGGGTGGGGCCAACAGAAGTTTCTAATTGGTAATGCGACGTCTATGTCTTATTATATAATAACCAAAACGAGCGGTTATTATACGGTCATGTAACCGTCACGTAGGCGGAAAACGCGTTCTTGGACTGCTAGGGATCGTTTTATGGGTTGCTGTGTACTTCAGGAATATCACTATTAACACAACTTTTCGATTCTTCTTCTCGTGAATTTTGAGGAGTTCAATAAAGGCTCCGTAGGATTTTTATAATTAATAGAGCCTTAATTTGGTGTATGTTCACTGCAACAGCATTTTCAAGCGTTTGTTCCAGTCGCTCCCCGTCTTTGTTTAAGGTTTAACGCTTTTTAAAATATAATCCCCGGCGATTTACACGGTCTCCACATGCATGTGATGGGAGTGTTGTTGACACAAATCAGTGATAACTTCAAGCGCCATTCAGCGACTATTTACAACTATACAGTCGAAAATGAGGTAGTTACCTTGCAGGTCCAATTTGTATGTGACAAACTAACGATAAATATTTTCCTAGGCTGTGGTAATGGCATCAGGGCCTTCATAGACAGGAAGAAAACAAGCCCCAAGCATCATGTTCGGCAAATACAGGATATGGAGAAGTTCTAGGGACGTTTCCGATGTTCTAGCCGCTGACAAGTTTCCATATAGTTGCTTTTGACACAAAATTCAGAAATAAGCGACACAAATAACTTCCGTTCAATAGGCACAGTAGGTTCACAAGGCACACAAGCTGAAAACTAAGCTCCGGAATCAGATTGACTATTTCTCATCACTCAACGTTCCTAGGATTCGGAAATGAATGTAAACGAACAAGCAGACCCTCACCACTAACTTCAGTGGACATGGATGAATTAATGACCCCTATAAGGTACAATACAGACTAAATATGATCAATTATATCAGCTTGCAAAATGGCTTCGTCTAACCACAAGTTGACTCTAGAGGATTGATAAATCACGCGTCACTCTCAGGGGCAGTTGGACAATCGTATGCGTAGCGTATCTATAGATATTTTAAAGGGAAGAGAGACCAGTGAGTGACAAGTAAAACGATGACGGCCGACCAAGGTGGTGTTTTTGTGTAAAATGTTTTACAAAGATCTTGATAAAACCAAAAAGATCCACAGTATGGCTCCGTTGTCTAGAATGCCATGGTAGATTGCATGGATGTCGACTGCGTGAACAGGGGGCATGTTTGGAAGTGGAAAGTACATCTAACGGTTTCCAAGCCTATTTTCTATGTACACTGGTCACTAGTCTTGACATCATGTAAGAATTGGGTAAAAGCAATGCACAAATAATTGTGGGTAGAATCTGATGAAATCAGACAGTCTTGTGTGATTTGGGACAGAGAACAGAGTCTAGACTTAAAAAAGCCGTGGGGCTTGCCTTAGCACAGACCTTTGTCCTGAGGGATGTATTCACAAAAGGGCCGCGATCGATGAAAAGTATTACGGAAGGCCTGCTTGGCACTTCTCTGAAAGATTTTGTGTTCCTGGTGATGGAAACCGCTACGTTCAGATGAAGAAATAGGGTAAGAATGCTTTTAAAATACTAAGAAGGCGAGGAGATTTTTGTGACTGAAGAGAGATATTTCAGGCTGATATAGGCCTTGAAGATGAAATAGATGGTGATTAGGTAGAACAGTTCTAGACGTTTTATCCTGGACATTTTCTAGGATGGCTTTTTTGCCTCTTGGCCGCTACCCTGCGATACTTTGAGTGGAGTTTCAGAAGGCGATGAAATTCACTGGGTGTAAAGTGGCGTTGGATGGTTTGTATTAATCGGCTTTCTGGAATACATGGGATGACATATTTGATACGAAGTGATTTTTAAGCATCTAGACACCCAGATCTGTGTTGTTTGCACCAAAAGCATTGATGTAGTGCTTGTTTCTTCCGAAGGGCTGGTGGACATTTGGGAGTTTTATGAATATTAATGCGAATGGAGCCAAAGATGAACAAAAATAGAGGATTCCCTGCAAGATCGCTGGCAATTATAGCAGTTTCTAGAGTCGCACAAACGCGTCAGTGGTATGCAGTTTGAATAATAGCAGGAAAATTGAAGGATATAAATGTGAAGCGCGTGCGTAAAATTATCTCTTATGCACCTGCATATAAGGGGCGTGTAGATATACAACAACAGGTCTTTCGCGTTAGCTTAGATACGCATCCGATGGACAAATTTGGAAATATTCGTCTTGAGTGCTTTTACCGTACGTTGGCTTTATACACTAAGTGAAGTTTGACATACGCATATGGTAATGAGAAGAAGAGTATCCAGGCCATGGTAAGTGATTTTCATGAGCCTGGTGTTGGCACTGAAAGCCTTTTGGCATTCAGCAGAATTATACAGACTCACTTAAATTATCAGTATTATTCCGTTTTCAGTGATGATGTTTTAAAACCAACAAAGATAGAGAAGACAACTTTAAAGGATGCGTTTGGTTAGAGGATGTGACACTTTTTATCAATGAGACAAAAGGGATAAGTTTTTGACCACAGTTGAGGTAACTTAAAGTTTCCCCATTGTATTGGATAACTGGCTATTTTAAGGAGGATTTAGTTCATTTTGGCATCGGTTCAGCTACGCGTTTGCCCTAAAGGGACGGAGTCTCAGTACTTGTGTTATTAATTTATACTGTGGCACTTTGTCTGATGGTCTTAGACTATCGTTTGTTACTGTTGTTGTGGGGGATGTTTGGATCGTGTTCGAGGATTTGTTTTGAGTAAATGGAATCGTATGTCTCCAGTGCGTTCACATGTTAGTTCGGTTGTGTCTTCTGTCCCTTCAAGAAAGCTGTCAATTTATAACACGGTTGAAAGAGTGAAGCGCTGTTGTTAAACTTCCTCATAAAAGTTTTGTCTGCCACTGGGTAAAACTTAACACTTTCAAAAGCGCTTTGTTATTATGTACACGGCGAATTAGGCCAGTAGTGCTTTTCATGGAAAAAGAGTAAATTAATTCTGACCATATCCGTTAGATTTGAAGCCAAGCTGCAAGACATGTTGCTGAGTACAAAATTCCTCGATTTTTATCTGCGTAAGGCATTTTATGCACTAGTAAGAGTGGTTGGACGAAACAAATAGCCGTGAATTAAAAAGCTATGACACTTTGTAACCTGTTGCAAATGAAACTAGAGCAACTTGTTCTGGTGTGTTGTGCTGGAAGTCATTTACTGTGAAAATCCTGAAAACAACTTCTGGATAGTGCCTTTTTGCAAACTGGCTTCATTATGTTGGGGCTCAGAGGTGTCCAAAGGTTTTGGTGTGGAAAAGAAAACGCACCTTACTTTACGATGAGTTTCCTCTGAAAAAGGCTGGAAGGCTTTTTTAAGAAGACTAAATTTTCTGATGTCATGTCTAGACTCCCTAACTCTTTTATAGCGAGCTGTAATTTCAGGACCTGCAACCAGCTTTACTCAGTTTGGGATAGAACCACGGACCTTCTGGTCAGTACTTTCTCGCCTCAGTCTTAGCTATCTCAAGCCCAAATCCTATATACACGCGTGATAGTGCTACTGAACTGACGAACATAATCGGCTTTCTTTCTGAATATTCCCTATCCCGTATAGAGTCATCTTTGTACAAACCAAAATGTCACGTTGACGATGATGATGATGCTTTTGATATGGCTGAGATCGTGTTGCAGCATGATTGGGCATGTATATGCTGACCGTGATGCTGCTGTTTGTCTGTACAGATTGTCTGTGCCGGCTTCTGTAAGCGATATATTAAAGCGCTTCAACACTGTCACTGCAGCACTATGGAAGCACGCAAAGTTTCACTGACCTAAGTGAAAATGTGTTATTGAACTTGGGAAGATCTACGAGTATATTATATGTAATGGCCTTTTTTAAGTGAGTTTAGAGTACGATGTTTGAAGCATCGGTCTTCTAAATGCACTGTCTACAACCTCTGGTCCGATAGTGAGTTTTGTTACCGTTACCGCATTTAGATAAAGTAAGATGCTTTCGCACCATGACTGAACCAGGAAAACCGTCCGGATTAGGTTTATTTAATGGGTCTTCTCAAGGATAAATACAGTAGATGGATATTTAGGAGCGTTCATCAACCTCATAGAAAATAACAAAAGAAGCTGTAACCGTAATTATCATTTCTGTCGTCCAGGGCTTACTAACTCCGTCACTCTAAAGGTTATTATAAGGCAACAAGGTTTAGCAAACGGGATCTCAGAATTTTCAAACTTCTTTGTGTTTTCTCCATAAGCCAAGGGCCGAAGTGGAGGAAAATCCGATTGAAGTAAGTTCTGGAAGACATTTGTCGCATTTTTGTTGCTTTTATCCCACCTCTTAGTTTGGTTCATTTATTATTGAAACGAGTTTGACGTTCCTAACAAAAGTCAGTAATTTGTATCTTTGTAGCAAAGATGTTTTACTTCAGTACCACGGGGCTTCTGTGTGCAACTTACTTGTAGCCAGTCAACCGGGGCTCCCGAATTACTACCATTAAATTTTAGAAAACTTGTTCCAAATAGTAACGAGTCCGCAAAAGGGAACATGGTCGGCTTATTCCTTTAGGTGTTGCTATGGGGTCATAAACATGTCTTACGATTAAAAACGTGGTACTAAGTCTCCTAAAATCAAAACTAACTTAGGTTCCTATTGCTTTATGTGGATTTTATCTCATGGTCATTCAAACTCCCTTTTTGGCAGTATAGTGACAGCTGTGTTCTATGGTCGAGTTCCGGTTGCTGTAAAACAGACTGGTCTCTCAACACGATATGTTTGTGCTACTTACCTAACTCCTCACTTAAATGTTCGGTTGCACATGTTATCATGCAACTTGGATATTCTATCTGTCCCAATAACTACCACTTACGAACGGCAGCAGGCGTCTATACCACTGTGATAGCAATCGACAGTCAAAATTGTCCTTCAGGGTCAGTGTAAATTCCAAATAATCACCTATGATTGGTGTCACAATGGGTGATGATTGAGTTTATATACTCAAATCTTGATTAGGAACGATTAAACCGACCTCAAGTCTCTAGGCAGAACTTTAGAAGCAATAGTTCACTATTGATGCATGTTCGGAACTATCTTATTAGCATCTGTCCTGGGAGTACATTAAAATTTAGCATGCAGAAAGTTTTACCTGTAGCCCGTACATTTTAAGCAATATTTTCATCTTCCATCTTGCATATAATCCACAGTTAAAATAGATGGAAGATAGCCAGCCTTGTCAAAAACTCACAGTCCCGCTCTCTAGAAGGACCTTTGTATTGAAATTGCCTTTGATCAACTCATTCACTATTTCATTCCAGGTCAATGGACTTTATGGGGAAGCATTTGCGGCCAATTTATGCATTTAATTATCACTTAATTACGAACTATCATGTGGCACAGCGTGCTTTATCCAGATAAAGACAAGTCCTATGTACCATTATAACATTGCATCCTAAATGACTTGTTCGATGAGCATCCCCGGAAAGCAAATTATACTAGCCATGCTTCCTGTTTCTACAGAATACCACTTGTGATGTTAAGACCACTAAAGCAGAAATCGTTTACAAATATTTAAGCACCTCACGGTCGCATTCAGTGTAGAAGAAATATTATAGATGAGGTAGATGTGTGACTGACACCAAATTTAAGCAAACGCGTGTTGAAAATATTTCTCGATTGAAAAAAATTTTTAGAACCAACTCTACATCACAAGCCACAACCTGAAGTTTTTCAGGCTTATTTTTGGGAGGGTGAGATCCATGAATACCAGGGTGAGTGAGGATGTCCGATTGTAGCGTCGGCCAGTCATCTGAAACGAGTCTAACAGCTTGCCTTTGTTTTTCAGCACCACCATTAGGTTGTCCGATACAGTGGAAGAGCATTTGTTTTTCTAACCGTTGTCTTCCTGAACGTTTTAGAACTGAAAATCCATCACTATTCTGATTTACTGTGTTAAGAAAGAACAGAACATCCCATAATCAAATAGAAATCTAAATATGTCAAGTCCAGGTAACCACAGCTTTTCGTATTTTTGTGTACTACAGACAGAAACAGATGAAAACAAGGGAATGGTAAGTGTTCTAAAGCTTTGCAAGCTTTTGTTGCATTCGTGAACCAAAATCGCGCTTCCTTCTGACAGTGCAGCTCCTCATTTTCTGTGTTTTACCTGGCTACAGACAAGTTCAATTAGATTTGGGAGCAGAGAGGTGTTGCAGGCTGCTTTTCACGAGATACCCGCTTCACCCTTGGCAACATTGGAGGTATGGTACTGAGCCAAATGTTAGTAGCAAACGTTTGTTTTTACGTGGCAGTGGTGTTTTTATTTAGTTATTCAATGTTTTCCTAGTTAGAACACTTTGAATATTACTAATATGCAGATCATATCTCTTCGAATCTAATACAACTTCGTTCCACAAAGTAAACGACCCAAATATGGCGCGCTTTTAATTTTCGACTTCCACGCAGCCTTAGGACAGAACAATGAATGGTATGCTAGCATGCTAAACAAGTCATTACGATGAAATTTTAAAAGTCATATATCTTCGAACCAGGGATCTTGATGTCGTACTGAGACAGCCCGAGGTCCGGAACAAATGTCAACTGCAAATAATTTTGTGAGGGATATGTTGACGGTAGTGAGCTCCGGGTAATTTAGACCACTTCTTATTTGATATCAGGTCGAGTGACCCTTGGAATGCAATAATGACTTTTTTTATCTTACCTTCTTGGATTACTTTGAAAGCGATCCTTCGTAACAATGGTATTTCACTTTTATTGTTATTTCAAGTCGACCGTAAAGGGCATACTTAGTGGCACATTTTACACTGCTGTGGCTCTACTATTTCAAGCAAGAGAGAAGGTAAATACCGACAAAAATAATCAGTGGCGAAACCCCTACACAGAAAATATTCTTTCATTTCATGCTAGTAAGAATGGCTCCAATTGCGACAATTTTCCGCAGCATCAAAAGTGGACCTTGTGGACATTGCTTATCTGGTGTTTCCTTGTAGAGTAGGCTGTTACTAGAGTTGAAATATTAGGCCGAGATTGGCCACTTTCACCTAGGTTCAGTTGAATCGTTTTCAGATTAAGTTTTATCTCACTCACTGAGTGATCGGTTTTATGCAACCACGAAAGACCTTACTGTCGTCCGTAAAATAATTTTGTTCAAGCTACTTATGCAGTCGACAGTAGCAGCACAAGCTTCAAGTACGGCTGATCAGGCCCAATTAAGTGTTAGCTAGGTGTCTGTAAAAATTGTCCAATAAATGCCATTTTTGGCGACACCCTTCCCGAGATTGCGCTCTGCCCGAATGTTGCACATACGGATAAAATTACCTGATAAAAATACCAGAGTAAACTGACGTTTACCATGCACCGATGGTCACGACTATGGGAATTACGAGACACTAGGCATACCAATGATCACCAAATCATGATGAGGTTACACAACCCGATTCTACCATTTCTTCTGGTGAGTTCCACTCCGGACCACGTATAATTACAGCCTCCGGGTAGGTATCCCTGCTCTGATAGGATTAGTTTCCCGGTAATCACTGTTGTTTGCATAATTTGAATACTAATGAGGAGTTCAACCATGTCACTTTCAAACAAGTTGCGATTTTGAGACTTCCGTTCATTGATACAAACTTTAAAAACACCAGTTATGAGTCGGAATTAGCCGACTATGAAATAATGTCGAAAAAATTCCTGGTGGGCTTGCACAAGTGAGATTTATTTTGCTCTCCATGTTTTTATACACTAGGTTGTGAATGGTCTGAATGAAAGGGCGGAAGTTATGTAATTTTTTCCTGTTATGATAAGGCCTGCAAGCACCCGTTGGAATGCAAGGGAAGAAATGATGATAGTCCTGGAAATGAGCATTGACAATATAAAAAAGTCGGGTTATGCGAAAAGCTTCAGAGCTCTTTGGGCCCAAGAGCATACAAACTTGAATGCCGTTATTCAAAAAATTACAACGATGCGAGGTAACTAACGTCAACAAATGCATGCGGAAACTTGTGCACAGATGCTTTTGATAAATTATAACGACTATTTGAATAAATCCAACAGTCCATATAAAATTGAGCAATTATTGAAATTCAAATCATTCGCAAAGGTTCGTTCGGCCGTGTTCGCGGTCAAAAGGATAAAATCCATTTGAGAGACAATCTTGTGCATAAGAGGATGATTTAACTGATCCTATGCATATTCTCTCTCAAGGCAAAACGCTACTCTATATACTGATTTATCCCGAACTGTATGCAATTCGCCTACAATGCACACGGAGCACTCAGTCACCTGGATGGATCTGAAAGTACGTACTGTCAGCTTCCTGTGCTGGGATAATCCCTGCCGCGAAATGTCAAGATATAAGGCGGCTGGCAGATGTTAGTGACGTTTGTGCGATCACTTTTAATCCTGATTGGTAGATGTCTTCAAGTATGGGCACTGTGGATGTGCCTGATAAGCTTCTGTTCCATACCTCTTATCGATCGTATCCTCCTCCTTATTTATACAGAATGAAGGGCAGTTAAACAGCAAGATTTTGGCGATACTGCTGCTATGACTGATTGCAATGATAGGGGCGAATTTCTGATGGGACAGCTTGACTAACCTGGTTACTGTTTCAACTTTTTAACGCATGCCAATGTGCATTCTTCAGTTGTATCCCTTTTTACTAAGCTCAGTAATAACGGGTAATAATGGTGATGGTTTAGTTGTGACGCTGTCAGGCGTTCACGCACAATGGCGTGATCAGATTCAAGTGATGTGTCCCAGAAAGAAAAACAGTCTTGAATTGTGGCTCTCTGCCGGCGTCTGATGGCCACGTTGTCCAACTGGGTTCACGGTTGACTTGTAGTTGGTGGTCGTTGAAAGTTCGTATTTACCAGAAACAGTTCATGATCAGCACACAACTGAAGGAGTCGATCTCCGTTGTCTGTGCGGCGAGTATAGACTCTGATTCGACCGCTTAAATGTGATCCCAAGGAACTAAGACGGCTTACTTGAGCATTCATAACGCCTGCAAGGATCACAATGTCAGTGCTTTGTTGCCTGACGAAAGAGCCCGGATAGCTCTCGATAGAAAGTATCCTTCTCAGCATCAGAACTACAGCCCGTAAGAGCACAAGCCGACACTACAAACAGGCACCGCTTTTTATGCCGAGAGGCATTGAGTCTGATTGAACTGGATAACCGGACGGCGCAAAGACGACTGGGATCCAATCCAGCCAAGCGTGTTCAGCTCTGGGGCTGAGTTCAACTCCAACGTCATATATTCCACGAGTCATCGCTTCTGGGTCACCGAACACACGGAGGGAGAAATGTGAAAGAGCTGAGCTCATCCTTGGTGTTCTGAGATGCATAAACATGCTCGGGTCTTGTATGCGTGTTTCGGAAACACAGCAACCATCAATTTTAAGGGAGGGTAAAGTTCCCGCAAGCACTGTCTGTCTGTCAATTTTGCATAGAGTATGGACGTTGAAAGCTCCTAAATAGAAAGGATCCCGTGGATTTAGAAGGGTGTTATTTTGTTTGCTGTTAGTGGGCAGTGAGTAGCGTAAGGCCTTTCGGTCAGATAACTGACAGTCAAATGGCCCAGTGAAGTTTGCTCTTGTGGTGGGAGGGGATTGAGGAGGGACATCGGTGGACATCAAACAGCGCGGAGAAATGATGCTCCTCGGTCGTCAAGACTGAGGAAGGGGGTTTGGTTGAGGTACCTCACCTTGGGCTTCTGACTCGAAAGTCTGGCCCACAAGGCAGAGTGGGAGGATGTAGGGTTTTGTTCGGGGATCCTGCCCGGAGCTGACGCCTCAATAGTCTTACCTGCTCGGCTGCAGAGGGTTGGCCTAACCCGAGGGCGCAAGGAATAAGGCATTACTGTCCCATTCCTGATGCGGCTGCGCATAGTGAGTGCCTTTTGAGCAGCACCAGTGGATACTACCGATGAGGCATGCGAGTAATATGTTTTCTCGGAACCCCGCTTTGCATCTATTGGAAGGTGGGATTTATTACGCAATTTGTGGAATTACTTCATAGCATTCGTTTACATTTGAATGATAGTCAATGAATATCCAGGAAAATTCAGGAAGACGCGTTCAGAAAGAAGATGGATATTAGGTTTTAAGAGACAAGATGCACATGAGAGTTTCGCTGTCATATCCAGTAGCCTGCAACTGTTCAGTTGGCGTTTCCTAATAAATAACTCCACAGAGAAGGCCCTCTTCCTTTCAATGATACTGGTTAGGTGCCACTTCTGGACTTCATTCACGGGGCGAAATTTCAATCGAAAAGAATTCCGATATCACTCCATATAACCAAAATACAACCAGCTTGAGGCATATATGGTGTTTTCTTGCTTAAGTTGTAGCCCCATGAATAAGAATAACGTCTCAGCTGTAGCGCCCTATAGGTGGCTAGCTACCATGCCTCCGAAGGTAGCACGAAGGCCGAGTTACCGTCGGGTTGCCGAAGCCTTGTCAGGAGCAGTAGGGATGCAGAGGTCCGGTCTGAACCACGGGCCTTCCGGTCAGTCTGTGCCTTAAACAATGAGCCGTCTCGAGCTTATTGCTTACTCGCTGACAGGATTTCCATCTGCTCTGAAATTCGACCATTCTGGTGTGTCCTAAAGTGCAACTTGTCCGAGTTACACATTCAATAATTGTTCTGCCACACCTTTTTGAATTGGGTACTTTGTGGTCAGTTCTCATCCATTTTCAAACTATTGAAAGCACACTTTATTTTTTTAGTTTCCTCACTACAATCATTGATGTCGAAATCCGATGACGAGGCATTTGTTTGTATTTCATCGGGTCTGAAGTGAGTCACATCCCCTCAGCCAAAAATGTATCGGTGCGAGGGCTTTAGCTCAGATGACTGCCGGGACGACTGTCAGACTCTTGCTTGTACTGTCAAACTACCAACAAGCTTCAAGTTCAGACACACCTAACTTCGCCAAATACCATCAGTCCAATGTTCCTTACTATTGAAACAAAAGTATAGTATGTATGTTGGTGGATCGCAGCCTCCTTAGTCCCTTTCAGCATATACAGAAGAAGCGTCTCCAACTCAGCGTTGGCTCACTCAGTATGTCTAACTTAGTGTCTAAGCAATATTGGTACTAATTTAATTTACCATTTCAACATAGGATGTATGTGTCTCTGGCTGATAAGCGCTGTTGCAGGAATAGGCCAATTTTATCACGCCGTTATTTAATAGGCTCTTTCATGTTATATGTATTTAACCGGAAGAGACACAACCACCCAGCCATCCGTACTTATCAGCCTTTTGTCTGAACCTTTCAATACAAGATTGATGCATTTGTGTACACACCCCAAGTGCTACCTCGTATCCTCTAAAGATGAATTCAGTGGTGGTGATCGGCGTTTTGCTACTGTTAGTGTGAGCACTATGCTTCATCAAATACCTTGGTGATCAAGCCCTCAATTCAAAGTGAGCACAGAAATATTTGAGTAACGAGGACTCCAATCGCAGACTAGACAGGAAGCTGCACAGGTTACAAGCGTAATGACAATCTACGCTTTGATACCTTTTCTAGCCTTTTGTGAGTCTGGTAAGTGATGCAACTAAAGGGGTACTCATTTCTCCCTTTCTTCCTGTCTACCTACATGGCCTAAGAATTCACAGCATGTATCATTGTGACAACAGAAAAATTCAGGATAAACTGGCTGTTTGTAGTGTTAGGATATCTTACGTGCGTTCTGGGGAATTAGCCGCAAGTATTGTCACAATCATCAGAACTGTAGAACACTGGTGGTTTATGCATATTTTTGCAAACCCAAATAAGTCGAAAAATTTAAGTGAAAGTAGCACCTGAGGATATTCGATAAATTAGTTCTGTATTGAGTGATATTGCCGCTCGGAGTGGTATGTTCAGAGACTCGCAATACAGCTTGGTCACTGTCTGGCGATTTTTGGTGGATTTTCGAGAGATGGCAAACGAACATGTGTACTAATAAGTGTTTGGAACACGAGATTTGTCATCTCGGAAGGTATACAAGGAAGCAAACATTCGACTATCCAGGGTTCCTCGTAAGCAAGAGTTTTGAAACGGTCAAGTGAGATTGGTTGCGTAAGGGTGCACTGCAACTTTTCGCACAAATAGTTTATTGTGTCCCGTACCGGCTCGTCTGGATCGATCTCTGGATTCTGCGCTGCCACCGACACATCAAATGAATCATGAAGCAGCCGCCTAACTTCGACGTTTCGCCTGATCAATCCGTCCGAATCAAGATCCATAATGCGGAACGCCACCTCGGCACGTTCCCCTATAGTGCCACGTAAGAGCACCGACATCAGGCACACAAAATCGATGGGACTGACTGTCTTCTTGGTTGCGCTGTGTTTGGTGCTTTGCATTGAAGCACGGCATAGTCCATCCAAACTGAACGGATTTGTAATGTCGAGGGTTCCGTAGAGAAATGTCTTCAATTCATCCACGGTCATATCACGAACTTCACGCCCAGTGATCTCCACACACATGTGCAGCAAAATACTCAGCTCTGTCTTGTTAAAATGGAGCTTCTTTTGTCGTTCTACTTGCTTGATGAGGTTTAATATAGCATTTCGTGTTGTCGCATTAAGGTCCTCGCATATCCCACATCGGCTGATATCTTTCAATTCACAACACTCTATTGGTTCATGTGACCTTAGTGTGGAGGTCGGCTTTGGTTCTAATAAAAAATAGTTTAACGGACTGAGGCAACCAGTAAACTTACTTTCGGGCTTCTTCCACATGATTGACGGGCGAAATCTGATGGACGCCCGTTCTTGCTAAAGTGTTTATCACTATTGATCTTGGCATTCGAAGAAAATATTGACCTAACCAGTCTGTCACGTGTTGCATGCGTGTTTGGTATTCGGACGATCATGTGTTTTGTCGAGGTCCGGAACGAAGTCTAGTCAGTCTTATCACTGCCCTTAGTCGGTTTTGAATTAGGTCGCATTTCTTCATTTTCAAGATGGTTTGGCTGGAAACTAGAATAAAATGACTTGTCCATCACTGTACACCTCAGAACAACCACGCTTACATCTCATTGTGGAACTCACTGGCTTAAAGGAGCCATCCTTAAGTGAACTCGTATGCAACAGAATTCTGAGGATCCTAACCAGGCTGCTTGGTGAGGTCTTAGGATTCTCGTTTATCTGCTTCACGTCTAGTGCTACCCAAGTTCAGCCACCCGTATTCCCGTTTTTCTGCTAAGATCAGATTCAGGGAGCACACAGGCGAGAACAAATGCAGTTTACGTTTGATATTTCGAGTACTGATGCCGTACCTCGTCATGTGTATTTATCACTTCAGTATTATTCAAGCACCAAAGTTATCTTAAGCTACTTGTATGTTATTCAGTAACATGTCGTCTTATACAGTGTTGTACGGTAAGATGCAGAAAATGCACGAAAAGACAAACGTTCACCTACTGGATTATAAATAGACAAGGTTCTAATCCAAATGCACAAAGCACTAGAGAGAAAACTTGGGTATCCGTGGACAATTTAGTGGGAGGGCAGTCTTAAGTCAATCAGTGTGTTGAGTGAAAATGGGCGGTAGATGCTCACCTGGACCACAAATAAAGGTACAGAAACAATGAAGTAACACACGTTTATTGTGATTTGCCTGTCTTTAGTAGCAAGGGCAAGTGAACTGCGATGAAAGTGGCACACGCTTATAGAGCAGCCCCTATACAACTCAGATCAGTTTTAGGTATTTCAGGGGATTAGTGGAATCCACGTCCACATTATTCTCATTTAGATGCCCTTCCTCCTGTCCTGGCACGATTATTCTGGTCACTTCACATCATAGAGCGCAAGCACTCTCTCCACTCTTGTTCTTATTAGAGTTATCGGCAGTTCTTACCCCTGGCCGTACCGGCATTTATACTCCAGATGTGCATGTGAAATTGAATTCTGCATATTCCTCAACCACCTACAACTATTCGAAAACTGCCCATTAGGTTTCAAGAGTCCCTGGCGTTACCTGACTGGGGGGCCATGAGAGACGGAGCAGTCAATCCACACAACCTTGGCAATTACTGGGTAGTCATTCGAGCCGTCGGGAAAACCAGTAACATCGTTCGGTCGTGGATCGCGTCGCCTGTTCAGCCGTGACAATTCAGTTGCGTCCGTCGTCCAGCGGAGGTTCGTGAACAAATAGCATACCAGAGAGAGGAAGGGCAGTTGACCGTTGATGCGGGTTTTTCTGATAAGAGCACTGAGACCAAAAACTCACCTTTGTGTGCAGTGTGGAGATGTTAGTAACAATCTTTTTTTATTTCGACTAACTCTGTAACCGACAGACAAACGTACAATCAAGCTCACCTGGAATGCGGGATTTCGATATTAATCAAGCAATGACTATATCACTGTTCACACAAATCGTTTGGACATGAATTTAGTGTAACCTGCTGAAAAGCTTATCGTTATTAGGGAGAAATTTTTTTATTTTCATAAAGCGTCTGCCCGTCGGAAGATTAACTCAAAAATAATTGCCGTCAAACCACCAAAGGCTTTAATTTTAGTACTCCCGAGCTTGAATTAAAGGGCGCCGCCGAAGGAGACCACCCTCTGTTGGTTGTGAGTTAAGTTCCTGATAGTTTGACACCATTACAGCGCTACATTGAAGGTAGTACAGTAGAGCTGCAATTTTGTAACACACATCACATTACAAACGTTACCTCATGAGTTCTGTTGTTATGTGGCACGGAAACTGTTGCCAGGGTAAAAGTTAAGGAGAGTTCATAAGGAAGCCATCGCTTAACACAAGCAAAAAAATTCAACCAAATCGCACAGAAATCGTGCAGGATCTTGTTTTAAATATTCCCACTCCGCTGTAGGGACAGAGCGTCCAATGAACTATTCCAGACCCATGAAGCGAATATCAGCAATCCCAGGTGCGAATAACTTGCAGGAGAGATTATTTTCGATTAGTTCCTTTGAAAAGGTTTCTTGAGGACGTTACGACAGACCATTTCTGAATGGTGGTATTAAGTTACCTTTTCACAGCAAGAAGAGGTGGATAAGTTTTTTTTCCATAAAAGCACCCTTGGGATTCACCAAATGTGGTCTTTTTCACTCCTGTTTACTTTGAGGAACCTACAAGGGGACACCTTTATGTGGGCCCACCTGAAATAAGATGCTTAACGTGAGGGGAAATCGCAGTTGTACGCCATACAGAAGAAACTGTATTATGACACTCATAATAACCCAGAGTGTACAGTGATGTTTTTCTGTCATTATTCAGAATTCTAAGTGGTGTTAAATAATATACAATTCCAGTTTACCAATTTGAGCTCCTGGTTTCTGATTGAATTTTGCTTCTAGTGGATAAAGAGGGTTGTTGTTATTGAGAGATTGACAGCTAGCCTTTCAAAATGTATCACCTTCAAGGCCACTCTTAATGGGCTGCATAAAGTGACGCCAATACGGGGGCAGTGCGGTATCTCTTTAGAGGAGGGGGAAGACTCTCCGGAATATCTTCAATCATCTGGCACATATTTCTCATCAAAGTTTGGATTAGAACTGTCACACTCAGAACTTCAAGGTAGAGTATCCGTACCGAATTCAGTGGAAATTTGATCAGACAGTTTGACCATCGTGTGTGTCACATTGATTGGGGAAGGACACAACATTCTGAGGCAGAGTTTTTATTACGCATTGTTTTGGTCAACTCGAACAATCTTCATCAGGATAAAATAATAGAAATCATGTAGACAATAAGACAGTCCAGTGTGTGCCAATGCTGGTGGAGACTAGTGAACCCAAACTGGTCAACATTGCGGTGCACTGTTGACATCAAATCCGCTCTGTCTGATAATAAACGACGTCCACGTTTTCTTCCTCTGGCTGTATTAAATCAGTCAGACGCTTACCTTACACATGAGCTATTTCGAAAGACTTCCCTACTTCTTTCTCACAACAAACCCATCTTATATCTGTGGAACTGAAAATGCCCGCAACTTCAAATGCTCGGCTCAGAGTGATTAAGTTATACTTAAAAAATGGACAGATGCCAAAAATAGGAGGGAAAATATGCAACACGCCTTTTCCTCCCCTTGTCAATAGCTAGTATCAACTGATGCGTGTGCTATTCGGTGTACCAGTTTAGAACGATGTGCCGAAATATTCATAAAGTTGGCTGCTATCCCGGTGAGTCACATCCCACAGTGTCGTTCAGAAAAAAAATGTGTTGCGTCATTTCATATATTAATTCTGCTATATAATAATTCTACTATCTAGTAGCACTACCTGGCATATTAATGCAGAAAATTTCAAAACACGAAGCTTGCATCCTGTTTTTCTTAACGGATTTGATCATTGTTGGGATTAGGGAACGGTCGCTCAAAAGGTGTTAATTCTAGGTCAGATCTCTCAGTGTACTGGTCTCATTCGGGAAAATGGTCCCTACTTGGAATAGATTATTGTGGGACTCATCTGGGTTGATCAAAATATGTTTTATTTTTGGTTACTGGCACTCGGGATTATTGTTAATTAAGCTTGCTGAGAATCACATACAGAACTTGATGTGGGTAAACAAACCAGTTTGATAGATACCACATCATGAGTATAATTTTCGACCGGGATTCCGACTGAATCAGACGGAGTGGCCACTGGTAGCCTGATTTCGATCAACTGAGCAATCCTTTCATGGTAGGTTCACACTCAAGGCAATTTAATCACTTGTTGTAGACGCCCAGCTTATCATGGTGGTAACGAAACTGTTATAGAATGATGAGAATGACTATATTACAGGGCATAAAATGAAATTTCAGGGAACATTTCATGCTTAAATGGATATGAGAAAAGCAAACCGTTTCACAGTAGATACCTCTGTGTGTGGTGGCCACTGAATTTCGTAGATACAGCCCCTTCGATCATATGAAAGTCTCGGCCAAAGAAACGTTGCTTTGATTTCCAATTTTTCTATGTTCCTATACATCAGCTTCCATCTAATGGGTACTTTTAATCTAAGTCTCGCCCCATGAATATGTTTCTAGTCCGTGGAAAGCACCAACCGAATTAAGACAGAATTCAAAGGATTGCTGATGAATGGGTCCTTATTTATAGTCATATATGACGGCAATTCAAAACAGAGAGCATGTTATAGCCGGAGTGCTCATGCACCGACAAGACGATATTTTGAAAAGTCATGCCGACGTTGATCTCTCCCTAGTAGTTATCCAAAGTCGACTGACACCGCCTGACAGAAAAACTACAAGTGCTGTTACAAGCCAATTACTCTGAACCGACAAAACCCAGGGTTCATGTGAACTTGGGAGTACAAACGTGAAAATGTTAAATGATTGGAAGCAGACCATGAGTAACCATCTCTTTTCGAATGTATTGTCCGAAGATTATTCATATGATTTCAGCCTTAGGCCCCTACCAAGTCTTTGTTAATCACACACTGATTGCTTGACTTGCGCTTAGAGACTGTTCGGTTTTTACAATGAGTGCTTGCTTACTTGGTTATCTTCATCTCTCTCTAGCACTTCACCAAGATGGCCTCTCAGATATATTGCATGACGGCTTCTATGTATAGTGTTGGACGAATTTGTGGACCAAATTTTAGCGTGACTCGTAAACAGTCTGTGAACAAAGGTATCGGATATAAAGTGCATCGCAGTCGACGGTAATGGAGACAGGAAACTCCAAAAACTGATCAATGAAGTGCCTTATTGAGTCCTAATTAGCGGCACCTTTAAGGATGTGCATTGTACATAGCTGATTTAAGAAATGGAAGAAATTAGCTCTCCAGTTTCCATTTCATGTTTATCACTCTTACTGCACTTCCAGAGACGGTCATTTTTGGCCGAGTTTTCACAAATTTCAGTGTTTGCCTACTGATTTGTTTTACTGAATTCTGAAACTCTTATGCGATAAACCAACCACTTTCTAATTTTAGAAGAAAGAATTCATCTGTCGGTACTTGATCAGCGAAGATACCAAAAACAAAGTGCTGATAAAAAAGGTGAGCTTGCACTGGTGTTCTTTATAATCCGCAGTCCAAAGGTACGCCTATCGATAGATACAGCGGAAAGTACGAAACCTACTACTTTCCACGGGCATTCGGTCTTAACGTGAGTCGTAGTTCCTGAGCTCTGAAAAGAGGCACAAGATTATATCAGCTGACCTAATTAAAATTTTGTTTGCAGAGTTCAGGAGTAAAAAATCGCCTTACCATCGATGCATGGCCAGCACATGCAGGAAGCCGCTCCAGGGCAACAAATCAGATCTACGTTTCTCCTGAAGGTCATTTGATTCACCAGTCAGCAGAAAAGTCTAGTAAGTCATCTGGTGATTTAACCGTTTTCAAAATCATGTAGAGTTTCGTGAGTCTCTGAATCAAAGCGAAAAATCTAGGTCGCGTTGCACTCCACTGTTTCAAAATTGTCACTTCTAGGTAAAGAATCGCACGATTCTTATGGCAAGACTTATTTGTAATGACACAAATTACTGGTACGGTTAACCCAACCAACTGTTTTTGACTTTGGCGAAATTCGTCCACATGATTTAGAAGAAAGGCTTTTTTACCGGGTGAGTAGGCGACGTAAACAGTTCTTATTGATTGACGCTTTTTTTTTCTCGAGTCTCGTTGTCACGAAAGTGTATTTTTAACCTGTTCTTAAAAATTCTTGGCCCATCAATTGGATCAACCTGCGCGATCATATGTAACATCAGGAATCGTTATTCACCATCGTGCACTTATGCCATTCCGGAAGAAGAAGGTCACAGTAAGAAGGAACGAAGGACCAGAAGGGTAAAGAAATAGACCCAGCATACGTTCCTGATGTCTGCAACTCTCATATCAGATCTTGAAACGTTTGTTAATATTTATGGATAGCGTATTCTGTCTGTCTGCATCCAGTCGTGATATGTCCGAACCATTAATATTTGGATAAGTGATTGCATGATCATACACAGAGCCGACTACCAAATATAATGATGCTCAGAGACGATGTTTCACCACTTTTGATCATGAACGTACTACAAATTTCCTGGTTTCGATTGCATTTTTTAATTTAAGGTTCAAAGTACAAGGGTCTCAGTAATACCGGGGTATTTCATCTGTTTCTAATCACTTCACCTTCCGCATTTCACAGAGCTGCCTCCAGTAAAGAAGCCAAGGTTTCTCGAAATCCTCGAAGCACGCGTCAATAAAGAAAAGGCCAAATTTCATGTGCCCGAAACTGGGCCGAGCCCCTTGCGCCTGCAAGTTTGTGGCTGGATTTCCAACCTCATGTCCATCACGTCCCATAGATTTACCGTGAAATCTTCACAATTTTCATCCAGACTTGTGTATACTACGGTCCTCTGTTGGCCAGAATCAAGGCAGAATATGAATCATATTTGGATCACGTGCAGTATCAATTGAAGATGTTACAGCCGATTCGAGTATAGTCTTCCCCCGGTTGGGTACCAGAAATCTAACTGCTTTTGTAGGAGCTTTTGTGGACCGTCTCTCAAGAGTGTGAAAACCGTGTGAGTAATATGAGACGCCGAGAAAACAAGGGTAAGTGAAATCTGGCATCCCACTTTCGTTAGATGATCGGAATAGCAGATAGTGTTTCTCCGTTCTGTTACTTACAGAGGATGGTGAATACTAATATTAATGACATCTGAATATACCTACAACAATATTTACTGTTATGATACAGTATAGCGTTGCTCATTTGAGGAATCTTCCGAAGCTTCCAAAATGTTTCCTCAATATGGACTGGTTCCGTTTGAGCCTGATCAAAAGAACCCCATCGCATTTTTCCTGTAATGCACCAATGAGAATTCAGTTGGATCGTTCAACAAGTCTGTCAATGATGAGATGGAATTTCTCACTCTTTTAAGTGGATGCTCTATGTATTGAATTGTTCCATACCCCAGTCTCACATACATTGGTGCAGCATGGTGAACCGGTATAGTACTAATCAGCCCCATCGTCGACGTAGTGCTTTCGTTGAACCGTATTTGGAAAAGGAAGTACATACGATGATCATTGAACCGCTGATACACACGAAGTTATTGCGATTAGTCTCAAAGTGTCCCTTGGATGCATCATTTTCAACTGCCATTGGGAATGTGAAACATTTCGACGTATGATACAATGTCCACATCCGCAGCCAAGTTGGCAGTTGTGTTCGGCCAAACTGCAACCAGGACTTCAGGAATGTGGCAGGTTAGTGAATCAACTACACCTCCAACATGCTGCTGAAGAGTGGAGTCAACTAATGGATCTAACCCGGCTACACATAGCCTCCTCGCCTTGTAAGTAAGCGATCCAATTTAAGCAAATATAAGGTACCGTTGTAGGATCGAAGTGCCTGATTTAGCCCGGTTCATCTCTCTCTGGAAAGAAACTGCTTAATAGGAAGATAGTGTGTTTCGTCATCCCTTTACTTGCAAAAATTCATCCGTAAAGCTGTAATTTTTCACAAATGGTGGCAGCTGGTCTGAGCACAAAGCAACGCCCCCTACCATTTGCTATTCACGTTGCTGAAGAACTCGTTTGAGTCTCCACAAACTATTACGTCAGATAAGGTTGATGAAAATCACACTTGATGAAATCAAGATTATCCAATAAACCATGATGTTTCGCCACTAAGTATGGGTCCACAGTCTCACTTGCTGCTTTTTTTAACTACTGTAAAACTCCACAAGTATCGTTGTTGTCGTCATTGTTAATCCTGACAATTAGTGATTGTGTTTTTAGTTGAAATGCAACTGTTTTATCCCCCATTATTCGGAAACCGTCCATAGAGAAACGACGACAGTGTCGGACAGTATGCGCGACAGTTCAAATTTTATGAAGTCCGATCATTGTGCCGTTGTTTTTATTCTTGTTGAGTGAATGTAGGCGCCTAAATTAGAAGCCTTGATTTACTTATTCTGCCATTAGACGCATCAGATAGGACTAAAAAAATAAAGTTACCCTTAATGAAGAGATAGAACTACAAGGAAAGAAGCTATTATTTTGCACATAGATTTACTGTCAGGCTTTTGGATATCTCTGAGGTAAAACCCGAAATAGAACTAACCCTATCCAGTAGCTTCAAGAAACTAACCAGCCAACTTTAGATCAACAGCACGTTCTTGATTACACCTTAAATAGGAAAATTACATACGCTTTTAGGAATATATTTTGCTTACATTTTGAGTACGCTTACACATTGGTAGGAATAGCAGTATGAGTAATGAATATTGTTCTTCAATGTCACCAGAATTCCGCTTGTTAGGACTCTTGAAATTAATGAAATCACCTAAACGGGCAGACGAAATAGCTCGTTTCTGACCGTTTGTGTCGACTAAATATTTGATTCCATCCTCTGCATTCTGTTACAGATATACGGAAACTGAAAATGGAGAAAAAGGCACTTTTATCCCAAATTGCGCATCTGCACGAAGACGGAAAGTCCCTGACTTGCGAGGTGGGACCAAGTGCTTTTTTGCTTCTTCACGTGTTACGTCAAACGATTTAAAAGCCACGTAGGATTCATGCGGTGATGTTGATTTCGATCTTTGCATGAATTACCACTGAAGTCAGATTGCTAAATAACAAGCAAAAGTCTTCCCAAGACTTTTGTGGCAGGGTGGCGGTACGCAAAGGCGATAGGTTACGGACTAGTCTATCCTCCTCTAAGTTTAACCAGTTGGTACTTGAAGAGAAGAATACTGCTCTGTCCCTACCCATAAACTGAACACTTTCTTGCACAGCAGATGTTAACACAGTTTTTCTGTTCAGTGAATTTGTGGTAAAGTTTCTTGCGCTAATTTTTTTTGAAGTATTTAACAGCAGCTTCATGCACAAAACACGTTATCCTTCTTCGCAACCCACTTCTGCGGGAATATTGGTTTCTTCCATAAATTCAGCGTGACTCATCTATGTTAACCAATCTTATCAAGTTCATGTTCCACAGAAGCTGGCCGAAAATTACACTGGGTTCTTAGTTTTGATATTTTGCGGACCTGGGTGATATAGGCACCGGAACGTTTAGCTTTGGAGCAGGCACACTGTCAAACGAACTTTCCCGATGGCACGTGATAGGGTTCCCCCTACTCATGATTGATGAGCTCTTCGACGAAGCATTTTGGAAATTTCCGAATGCGTTCCCTTGGAAGGAAAATATTCTGACTTTTGGATTAGTTTTGAAATTCCAACATTGTCATGATAACTTCCAAGACCGGAAATCAGTGTACTCTATGGAGTGCGCAAATCTGAGGCAAATGTCTAAGGTTTCGAACGACTAGAGTACTGGAAAACCATGTGTTCTAAATGACTGATAATATGTTGTTATATGACCGTAATAAGATCACCGTAAATTTATATATTGGCGCACAATGAAATTGTCTTGTGTTCGATTGGGGGTTCCGGGCTATCTCACACGAACGAAACTGCTGAAAAGGAACTATGCTGTGTGTGTTTCAGAGACTGGTGAATGTTGTTCCAAGGCATATCAGAGTATTTTTTGTAGAACGTACTGTGAAGTGTAGAAGTTAAATTTAATCTGGAGAACGTTAAATTAGTCGTTTATTTGACTTCCTACCAGGTGGAACATCTGACTGAAGAATTGGAGAAAAAAGCGGACGAGTGGCGAACTGAGTCAGATGGTCGAAAGCTTTTGGTCTCTGAAGTAAACGAACTGACATCTCGTCTAAAAGAAATGGAAAGCTTGGCAAGAGCGGAAGTCATTGATGACTCGGAAGATCCTGTCAAATTGCGATTGGCACTCGAGTGAGTGATAGTGGACCGCTTATACATGACCACCAATTTCATCATGAGGTTGTGAGTGTAAGAATAGAAATGTAAATTTTTTCTATCTCATATATAACTCTCATTGTGCACAATCACGCGGCCCACAACACTTATGATTTACGATGTTTTGTTGCATAAACCGCTATGACATTGTCAATTCATTTAACTTAATTTGGGGACACCAGCCTTTTTAGCTTGACAAAACCGAACGTCAAAAATCAAGCTAGTATGAAGTAAGACGTTTTCGAAAGTTCACTACCGGATTTCATCCTGAGAACTTATGGGTATTAGATGACACTGATGTGGTTTCAACGAGAGACAAGCGAATCCCAAGTTAGTCAATCAATAATATAAAAGTGTTTTGCAAACGAGTATAGGTTGCCTACTTTACACAATTTGAGTTCAACTAGAACACAGGTATCACGGAAACTCAGCGACTGCGCCTACCTAATAAGCCCTACGAAGGGCAAGGCCGGTCGCTGGCTGTTGAAAGATTTACAGCAGCATTGTGAGAGGTGATCCTTTGAGAAATAGACAGATTGTATCTGTCTGTTTCATCATTACTGAAAATCCACATCAGTCTACCCTCACAGATCTTGATGAGGAATAAAATACGCACGCCTCTGGACCTTGTGGCAGGAGATGCAGCTAGAAGTATCGCTATCATAAGAACCGGAGACGACAGCAATAATGCCCAATAGACATGACGCTCAAACTATAATTTGCTACGATATATCTTCGCTCATTCTTCAACAAGGAATTTCCTATCGCATAGTGTGTTGCTGGTGACTTCTCAGGTAACAACCCATCGTCATCGGTATTAAGCTGGTCATGCATACTATACTTCACTGTCATGCAACCTCGACTTGTTTGAAAGCCTAATTTGACAGTACTAGGGATGAGAGAGGCAATAGCGTTAGCCCAGAAAAAGCCGTCCCAGTTTTTTACAGCACAGTAAACAAGTGCGGAGATTTTTGGAGGTAGTTTGGGATAACATTTTAAATAGCGTATCTGGTGAATTTGGCCGGCGGTGGTCCCATGCGTGGAGTAAATTTACCCCAGACATTCCCTTGTCGAGGAGTTTTCAGCAACCTTACGAGTAGTGCATTACGGATTAAGATCAGCAACTAATAACACACTCGGGCACTCAGTATTTCAAAACATTAACATACACTACCACGCTAACACCACACAAATTAATTGGAGGGCAATAGTGAAGGGCATGTTCTGTACGTCCATTCTCATACCAAATTCGTCAATTAACTTCAGTCGCTATAATGAGCATGGATGATTTGTACGTTCGCTTCATCCCCAACCCTGTATATGTACTGACCTAAAACTGCGTGGGTGTTGAAGCAAATGAAACGGTGAGCACAATAGTCGTTATGAAAGACGTTCTTTCGGGGCAACTAATCCTTTCCTAACATTGATTATTGTTTAACTGAAAGTTTGGCCCATGGCGGAATCAATAGTCAGTAACAAACCCATGCTTTGTGCCACTATTAAGTTGTACGCGGAATTCATAAACAGACATCATTAGGTGAGTGCAGTGTCGGGAAACTCACAGCACTTAGGTTGGGTGACCACCAACAAGCATCAATCGCGTTTCTGGGAAAGAGGCATGTATCACATGAACCATTTTCCTATGAGTACATGATTTCGTGATGTGCATAGCTTTGAACAATTTGCCATGGCTTACAATGGCTAACGATACATAAATCCATAAACTATCGACTACTCTGTCATGCTTACGAAGAGGCCCAACCTCTTTCTTTTAAGCGAAAGACCAACGACTCTGCAACATCACTGTCATTCCCCTGATTTAACAACTAATGGGTTTTTTATCCACTAGCCTACTATTGTTTGCCGCGTATTCAGTTTCGGTTATCGGAGTCATAGCGTTTTGCAACTGATGTGAACAATTTCCTTCTGGATAATCCAAAGATTTTACCGGTCTTAATGGTTCGTGTCAAACAAAAAGATTGTCGAACTTTTTTCCTTTACAGTATTTCTTCAATAGCGGTTTCTTAAAACACGAAAATATGTACACACTGTGAGCAGGCAGAAAATGTCACAAAGTTTTTCCTACGATAGTTTTTTAGGATGGGTTTCCTTGCAAGGAGAGACTGGCGTACTAAAAAATCAGAGAACTAAAAGCAGCATTGGAATGGAACGTTAAAAAATGGCCTATAACACTCAGACTAAATGTTGCATGCACCAATTTCCAAGCTGTTCACGGGTGCATTGTTTTTTAGTCAAGCGCATAAAGCAATCAACCGCCTACAGACACAAGTGATACAGTATGAGGCACAGTACGAGGCCCAGGTACCACGAGTGAAATACGAAGAGGTCCGTCAAAAGCTGGACTCGCAAGTGGAGGAAACGACTCGGTTGAGGGAGGAGCTCGAAAGCACACAAAGCCGATATGAGTGAGTGAAAATTGTTCATGAAGATTTTCAAGTTCACCACTTATTCATGGGTTACTTGATTGTGGAAATACTGGTTTCGTAGGGCCATACGTCAAAATATCGAGTGGCATCGTTGAGTTGTAGCACCCTTTTGGTGCCTAACTGCCATGCCACCAGAAGGAAGCACGAGGGCTGAGATACTCCTAGGTTGCCCACAGGGGAAGTCGAGAGACGGAGGTAGGATTCGGACTACGGACCTTCCGGTCAGTAAATTCGCGCTCTAAACACTGGACCATCTTGAGTGTCATATACAGGCTTCAAAGCACCCGTGTATGAGCGTGCAGTTGTTGGTGGTGGGGCTCGGTCAATCTGACTAGGGGCGTGATTTCAACAAGGCATCTCGAATGACCGTGAGCCAAACTGAACAATATGATAAATAAAAGCTTGAGAATCGCAGCTGACTGACCACGTGGAGGCGCACCAAACTGTGGGTTTTACCAGCACCAGTATTACGATACAATTAGTGTAACGAGCTGTTCACCCACTATACCGCTTATTCTGGCGTTATAACTCACTGAATGTGGCATCAGTGCCGAGAAACCCTAAATAATTGGTGGACCCATAAGGGGCAAAAGCAAGGTTATCAATGCTTGTATCGGTTCTGAGTACACGACTGACAAGGATGAAAATAAGCTCAATAATACAGTTCTGATGAGCCCAGCGAATGCACCAGTCAAGCCATTTCACCAAGCCTCTCGCTATCATTGACAAAGCACAAATGCGATGAAAAACATGTCAACAACAAGCAAAACATTCTAAGGAGCGTATGATCTAATTCATGCGAGCTTTTGAAGCGCTTAAAATGTCCCAATCATCTTGCGTTAGAATTTCTGTTGTCCTTGCATACATCATCCAATGAAAGTTATCTGCGGTTTACTTTGCTCTCTATTACTCAGCTCACATCAAACCCCAGCAGTAATAATCTAATGGGTCATGTATGTGTGAGAAGGGGCTTTGGACCCTAGACAAACTGGTGAAAGAACTACCACTGATTTTTCACGTGACATGTTGCGAGGACCAACGAAATTTTTACAGCAGATGGCGAAGTGCGATGCCAATTTTGTGAAACCTGTCAAAGCTTTAGACCAATATGCGGACTGCCATGTAGAATATCTAGAGGACTTTCAGATATGCTTTTAACCTGTCGGTGAACTCAAAAGGTACGAAGCACTTGAAAAATGAGTTTCAGGTTGGAGTACATTAGAACCACTCTTCATAGCACCAAGCTAGAGCTTAATTGGCCTCTTGTGCTCGGGTTTCCTCTGCTGTTGGTGGCAGTCATCTACGTGGTAATAAAAATCGTCACCAGGCTAATACGAATGTGACCTAGAGGCTATCATCCACCCACTCCTCACTCATTTTCTACTGCAGCCGCTGGACCTTAAATGAAGTACAGTTCCACTTTTCGTTGAGATATTCCGAGTAAAGTTCTTCATCCCCATAATATCCGATCACTGAGTTGGTTTTGAGGCAAATACTTTTCTGCTATCTGCCGCAAAACGAGCATATATATTGCGCAGTTTTGGAGTATTATTCATCTTAACACCGTTTAAGTGGTCCTCCCATTCTGAAGTCTGCTTTCAGACGTTTTGGTTGATACTATTTTACTGCACTCAAGGATATCGCCGAGACCGTGGAATGAAACATGCCAACAGGCGATGAAGTCGTTTGCTTGCTCAGGTGTGGCAAGCCCATCACTCTGTAAAACAAGTCACTTCTTGATACGATATGACTAAAATTCATCCATCATCGTCCATCACTTACTTAATGGCAGAGAAGTCTTCATATCATCACAGTTCGAGCAACCAGTTAACGTAACTCGATTGTGGTGTTGGAGCAAAGATATCTGACAAAAGGTTAGTTGAAGTATATTGTTGCAAACTCAGCGGGAACTAGAGATCGTGTTGTAACGAAATCCAGTTGGAGAGATTTATGGTCGGCTAATGAACACCAAACGGAACAGTGCCACTACTAGGCCATCGGTGATTTACCATTAGCCTCAAAAGTATGTGTGTTATACCGAGCACAGTCCGACTCTCATATTAGCGGGGTTTATCCTTATTAGCACTCCAAACAGTTTCTCATAAATTAAACCGCCTCTTGATATACTTTCAAACAAACGGAACTGGAGATATACCCCATAATGTTCATCATCTGAAACTACGGAAGGTGACCGGAGTATAACGTTGTCATCAAATACATCTAGCATGAAACCTTAGTTTCTTTTATTCTAGGATAGGTGAGTATGGTAGTAAGTTAATTCAATAAAATGTTCTGTAAAAAATTAATTAATCAGAATTTTTAATAGAAATAGTGGAAGACTGCGGCCCCTAGTTTTGTGACACGAATTTTTCATTACACATAAATTGTCAAGAGACGGTGGTCTATGCTGGTCCGTGTGTTTTATGTCCAGAAAAAGGGAGGATCACAGACCACTAAAACAAAAATACGACATTAAAAGTCAACGGGATATGTAAGCTCCTGATACAGAAGAAAAGCATCTTGTGCATCTTGGACGATCTTCCTGTACGAGAACCTCAGTGGCTTATTGAATCCCCAGAACAAGGATGTAATTAAGGAAATATCAGAAATTCCATTAGAAATAAGAGCGAGAGGTGTAAAACCTCGTTGGGCTATGATCACCTGATGGTGATCAGCTAATGGCTGGTCGTCGGAAATTAAGAAATCCCCCAAAGTGAATCGTTTAAATAGATCAATGGTCAGAAACTTAAATATCTGGATAACTAATATCCCATATTTATTTTATCGCTGTTCATATTTGGAAGATGAAAGATAAATCTACAAAAAGGTGCCAGAATCAATAAACATGGAAGCTCTAAAACAGCACCTGGGTACTGAAATTAGTTTTAAGTATATTACGTACAAAATGGGTTTTAGATAGGAGAAAAGATTGATTGAAATTAGAGTTATACGTGAAATTGATGATCCTCAAAGAAACGAGGTTCGGCACATCCCGATCCACCTTACTAGCAGTATCACGTGGTAAAAAAAACTAGACCTTTTCTTCGCAACTAGCAGTACACGTGGTAAAAAAAACAAAACCATTTCTTCGCATATCAGCTCAGCTTAAAGTATCCTTTTGATCAACCGATAACATGTGAGGACGAATTTGGTACCCTAACCGGAACCTAACAGATGTTGCGGCAATTCAGAGGTTGCGAAATAGATTTTGTTGTCGAATTTTAGAGTTACCATTGATGAGTACATGGAAGGGCCGTTTGTATTGTCCGTCACATCTCTGGAGTCGTTTGGCGGTTTTGCAATCAGGCAGAAGAACGAAACTTGAACTAACGAGCGGATTCATCAAAGCAACCTGCCATCCGTCCTTTCATCTTAAGTGTTGCAACATCTCCGTTTGCATCATTTACGAACGTTCATATGATTTGTGTATCCATCAGTTGGTTAATGTGTATGAGGCTCCAGTTAGAAAGAAGTCAGTAAAACTAGTTCCATCCGTGAAATAATTGGCATGATGTAGCTGGTACGAAATTTGATTGACAAGACAGTGTAGACATCATTCGATCTGAATATTTACATCCTCGCGGTGTTTATGAGCGTCCATTTTCCGAGCTTCCTTATTTATTTACTAACACTGACGATTGATAAGTTCACCTTCAGTAAAAAAATAGTATACTTTCACTCTGGTATTCCTGTGCAAAACTGATTCGAACTATTTCAACACAGAACCTAGGCAATGGCCATTGCATTTGCTCGATTGTTGTATCGTGGGTGGCCGTCTATGAGTTACGCCTGCACTGAGCTTGCCAGACTACGCGATAAGAAGACAGAGAACTCGGAACACGGCTGTATTGTCAGGGCAAAACATACAGAGCGTCTGCTTAAATATATAGGATGACGGCCAAATATGGTCGTTCACTTGTTCGTTCCGCACAGCCAATGGCGGTGTTCCGATCGTGAACAATTTCAGGCTCACTGCGCTTGTCGTATGTTTCTAAGCCGCCAACTCACCTACTTTTCGAACGTGTCGTACCAATAGTGACCTTGGGGATGCGTCACTCTCTGCACACGTTTTTTTTTCCTGTCTGGGCGCGTCCTGCCACTCGATCTAACCCGACTACAGGATTGGCCTTCAGTTGGATTGATAAAGCTTACAGGACACCAGAAACCTCCTGAATATGCGAACGTGATCAGTCAGGCTACAGGGAGCATTTGCTACAACATTAGAAAATTGACCATCGCATAGCAACGAAAAGTTGTGCAACTAATCGACTAGAAGTTTCATCAGTGTTATGTGTTGTGTCATGTCAGTGACATTTGTCTATACTTTTAACAGTACGGAAACTTATGTTAATACCCTTTCAGCTGCATTCATTCCATAATTTTCATGTTTGAAATTTTTGAGCCAAATCTCTCTCTACTTTTTACCATTCGAACTGTTGTACTTTTTCAGTTCTCTGCTTTGTGTTGCAGTTATAATGATGTTGATGGTCTTCGTGGCGATTTACTTTTTTACTCGCATTGGTTCATCTGGAAGACTTATATGGCTTTTTCCCTCATGATGAAACCATTGGCTGTGTCTATACGTGGTTTCTCGATCTTCCCCGACTACAGGATTGGCCTTCAGTTGGATTGATAAAGCTTACAGGACATCAGAAACCTCCTGAATATGCGAACGTGATCAGTCAGGCTACAGGGAGCATTTGCTACAACATTAGAAAATTGACCATCGCATAGCAACGAAAAGTTGTGCAACTAATCGACTAGAAGTTTCATCAGTGTTATGTGTTGTGTCATGTCAGTGACATTTGTCTATACTTTTAACAGTACGGAAACTTATGTTAATACCCTTTCAGCTGCATTCATTCCATAATTTTCATGTTTGAAATTTTTGAGCCAAATCTCTCTCTACTTTTTGCCATTCGAACTGTTGTACTTTTTCAGTTCTCTGCTTTGTGTTGCAGTTATAATGATGTTGATGGTCTTCGTGGCGATTTACTTTTTTACTCGCATTGGTTCATCTGGAAGACTTATATGGCTTTTTCCCTCATGATGAAACCATTGGCTGTGTCTATACGTGGTTTCTAACATTTCTCTTACGGATTCTTTGTGATTCAGTATCTAATCACTGTCTATTTTATCCCTCGGTTGCATTGTGGCTCACTGTGTTCGAAACTTTTCGCCTCTGTGGATTCCACATTTCCATTCTTTTTGACAGACCGGCAGTGATGATTCTGGACGTTATTTGATTGCTAGGTTATTTGATTTCTTGAAAATAAATTCCCTAAAATTTCTCGCTGTCCTTGCATAAAATGCACAGTGTGCTTCCGCTCACGAATACCACCGTTAAGTATTGTGATATTCTGGCCTACTTGATACAACTAATTTTTGATGGAATTTACTGAATTCGACCTATAACTTTGCTTCTGTTGTCCATTCACATCAGTTTATGTCATCTGACCCTGACATTGAACTACATGCTCACTGTAGAGTACTGGAGGCATTCATGCGCAATACGCCGCTTTCATCTAGATACTTACGGTCGGGTGGACAATATGTAATCGATAGATAACTTAAAATTTGAAAACAAAGCTGGAATCGTAGAAATGAGCCCATTTGTACTGCGAAGTGATCTTCCAGAAAAAGGTGGTGGGTAATCAGATTGGCATATCAGTGTGATAACCTTTCTCAAAAGATATCTCTCCTTAAACCCGGAAAATCTGCCAGATTTCCGATGTGATCAAACAAATTCAGCCACAACACCATCGTTATCTATAAAATCATTAGGAAGCGGAGAATAAATAAGCTTTCGTAGTATGATCTCAAGTACCAGTACGTCAACGCAACTATTCACAATTTTGCCTTAGGTTATCAGATTTTAACTGCGACGATATTTTACACTTTTACACTTTTCTTTTTTCCTCTGTTAAATTTCTCCCACCCCCACCCCCAAAAACATTCTTGGTCCACAGTCTACTGCAGGAGCATTGTGTTACACTCAACACCTACCGAGACCTCTATTACATTCAAGTAACGTATGCGACCCGAGTCCTTGGATCAAAGTATGTTTTAATCATATTTGAAATCATTTTCCATTTGTCCGTGTTATCGCTATCATCGTCGTATGCGCCGAAATAAACCAAGCCATGTATAGTCATGATACTTCTTAATGTTCCTCATTGGCGTTCGTTGCCGGTCTACCAGAAGCTGACACTACTGAGCTTAAATGTCTGGTTGCCTCGTTTTGGAATTTTAAGTGACAAGCCTTATTAAGATTCACATTCTGTTCTACAACACTTGGAATGCCAACAACGAAAGTCGGGGACCATACCTTTATTCTGCGACTGGTCCTCATAGCTAATCGAATGTTCATACGATATTCAAAGGCAAACATGTGTACAGTTGGATAAAAATGGGTACAAGTATCAAATGAGTTAGGTCAATTACAAACTACTGTGTGGAATAGAATTCTTCAAGGGCCATTTCAAGTTCAAATTTCGCAAAAGTTGCCTTTGAGTGCAGAGTTGCCTCTGCAGCCGATGAAATTCTGAATCTTACCTGTCTTCATTGATTCATGAGCACTCAGTGAGCCAGTTGGAAGGCGTGCTCCTTGTCTAGGACATGATCACTTCCGGCCAGATATAACGCACTTACACATAGATAAGATTTCTTGCGACTACCAACCGCGGAAGCCGGATATTTTATATTCTTTGTGACAGATTCTGTTGTACTGTCAACCGACGAAGCACTGGACGGTCATACGGATGACGATACTTAGAAGGTGGTGATTGAATGTAGCATAGATCAGTGGTCATATACACCATAGCAATGATAGCTTTTGGATACCTAGCTGAACAACCATGTTTCTTCTGAGCGGTGAGTTACTAATAAGCTCGCTTTTTCACAACGGACAGCTGTTTAATTCTCTGCTACGTATACAGGATATTTTTTTAAAGAAACGTTCTATGTGAATACGTGTTCTAAATATTCCTTTGTAAGCAGTCAGCAGACCATGCCTCTATTGCTTTCTGTTTAAATATTTGACTGACTTTCTTTTTTGTTGCAATGGAACAATGCCATCGAAAGCGGCATGACGTGACTTAGTCGAAACTGCGCTTATAATTTTTCCAACTCCCCGCAAGCGTTTGCTAACTCAGTCATACCGTTCAAATGGCGGCGCCTGATATTTTTTGTATTGTAAGATCGGTAAGCCGAAACTGGTTGTGTTAGCAGGTGACCTTCACAAATCGCTGCCAATTCCGAAGAGTAAGGTAGTGTTCAGGCAAACCACAAAGTCATGTAGTCCACAGAGCCAGTTATAAGAGCTCTAATTGAAAACCATATTTAGACCCCAATTTTCAACACGGTCGTTTCAGTGTTAAAGCTGCGTTCATTTCAAAGTTTGACTAACACTGGCTGTTTATATTCACCGCAAGTTGAACTGACTATTGCCTATCATTAGGTAGCCAATGAAGTTCAAACCTGAACATGTAACGATGACTGAGAACAAGGTTTTAGAGTGCCAGTTGAGGATTGTGGATTAATCAAGGTGGCTGCCACTTAAAAGCACGTCCGTAGCACATATCAGAAAAGTTGATCAAGGAGAGTCGCAAGTAATCATTAGTGAAGTGCTAACTTAAGAACACCTTTTGTTGGTATCAGAAATTTCTATAAGGACGTTGCAGACATAGTGATGACGTTTATGTGCGCCCTGAACAATACAAGGCTTCTCGCAGACCAGGTCAAGATGACGATTGTGGTGGCAAAACTTGATGGTGAGACAGATTATCACTGTAGCGAATATTATCAGCTTTAGCAGTAGCAGATTGAGCAAAGATTGTAACAACTGTATCAGGTATAAAGCCTGCCCAGTTTCGTGGGAAAACTGAGCTATTCTAGTTTGACAGGTAACGTTGTCCTTATTTCATTTGAGTAACCAAAACGGCTCCACCTGCCATATGTTCAGACTGTATATGTTAACTGGTCCTGTTTAATCCTGTTCCGGGTCGCAAGCCTCTTCCACCAGAGGTTGTCTAAGGTACTCAACTCGTTGTACTGCAACTTGTACTGCAACTAAGCTGAGTGACAAGTCGTCAGTTTTGAGAAGATGGTGGGGTCACCACACTCATTAGTGCACAGATGCGGGCTGATTAGATGGGAGTTCTCCAATTTTTTGCTTCGAAACTCCCATAGAAATTTCCAACTCATGCGTCATCCTGGTAACTTACTGGTCTACCTATTCATTGCCCAACGAAATATACCACTTTTGTAGGTCACGGTGTTTTTGACAACAAATGGTACCAAGTCCTTGGCCGATGAATCTTCGAATCCTCAGTTTTTGTAGTGCCAGTCTTCACCGTTTTGCTTAAATAAGCACATTTATCGTCGCCTACGTGCCTCTGTCTCTTATTCAGTCATCCAGGAATAGGACTTGGCCATCCGTCAAAGTGAAAGCCGGTGGTCAGAAAAACGAGGCGCACCTGAAGTAAAACAATGAGCGGCCGATAACTGCAAGATGAGAACGCTAAATGACCATCTACAAAGTTTATATAGGGGAAGTTGAACAAATGTCGTAACTTGATTTAATGAACCGTCTCGTCATTGGATTTATTGAAATGCTATCTAACGAAACCTATCATTTCAACCAGCATATTCTAATCAATTTCTTGTGATATTCGAGTAGACAGTAGTCACTTTTTACAGACCACTGTCATGCATTCAGATTATCGACTTTAGAGGAGTTTTCAGTACGTTCTGCTCCACTCGTCTTTTCGGGGACTTTCCGTGGGGTAAAAAATGAAGGAAATTCATGTAATTTACTTAATTCAAACCCACTACACCTTTTATGATGGTCGTAATTGTACCTGGGAAACTAGCTTCCATTCACATCGTTTCTTTGGGGCAGCTTAACTTACCCAGTAAAACTACAGCACCGTTATTCTTTGAACTGGATAATTAATGAAGTATCGGAAATTCCGACTGCATACCCAAATACGTCGTGTGGACGCACTGGAAGGCTGTCATGGTTACCAGCACACGGAGGAGTTATCCGCTGAATCATCAGTCATTTTCTTTTTGTCTCCGGGACCTAATTCTCAGCCAATACAAGCAGGTGCTTTATGTGCAGAAGGCTTTTTGCATCGGTTTCGCGCTTTTTATATCGATGAATTTCAAAAAAAAACGAGCCTTTTGCGACCCCGTTAAGCGCTCCGCTATCCCCGAAAATAACTTCATAGCTCACAAGGGATCCAAACTTTCAGGTTGGGAGCCACTGTATTTGAAAAATTGCACTGTATGATTTACACTCCCCAACTGCCTCAACATGAATCGAGGATTTGCCTATTGTTTTCCCTTTGGATGATTTTAAGTGACTTGTCTCCACGATATAATTCTCTAGGCCCCCGTAATATACCAAAACGACAATCATGTCATTTCCACTCAAGTTTGGTATACATTCGTCGCTAACAACTTTTCTCTTGGGTCCTGCTTCTGGCATTTCAGGGGAAATTGCCTCTCATAGCTTCAAAAAGCTTTCACAGGATACCATAAACGGCGGGATGCGGTTAACTTTTCTCATTTCGGCCCATGCCTTTTGGGATTTTTTGGTCTCCTTTCACCGCAGTCTAATAATATGATGTCCAGGATTTTAAAAATGGGCTTGGGTGTTGACTTGATAAGAAGCGTTGTACGTTTTTCGTCGTCTCATAAATGAGGACATCTTTGTAGAATGATCATCCCTATTTCCGGTGTGTAGTTCAATTGCAATGCCGATAATAATCATGGAACATCATTCTCCGTCTTGCCATATAGAAACAGTGAATTTTGCCGAGATTATAACTAACTAATTTGTTCTCTTCTCAGTGGGAACTTTCCGGCAGAGGTGAGAAATGGGCTAGTGTCGACTGTAGAATGAGAAAGCAAAAGATGTAGGGTTTATTGCTTTTCAACTACTAGACCATTGGCTTATTTCAGAAACTCATTCTGTATCACTTCTTGATTGTAGAGGTGAACCGCTTCAAAAATTGGACTTCGTCACTTCAATGCTGAACAAATGGCGACGTCTGGCCGCTGACAAGCCATGGGCTGAAGTCCAGCGTCTGGTGGCTGATGAGATGATACGGCTTGAATCGGGCCAACTACCCATTTCAGTTCGTGCATCCAGAGCACCGAGACACAGGACGACCGTGGCGGATGGGTTAGCTGGGCGTGAGTCCATCCACAAGACAGAGGGCAGCTGAATGTGGTGTGAGAACCGGACTGATGCGTTTTTCGAACCCCTCCTACAGCAGAAGGCAATCAACTAATGACAACGGATTGACATTCAACCTACTGGTTGAACCTGTCCTAATGTCTGCTCCATTAAATTTTAGTTTAGGTTGATATAGGTTAACCAAACACCCACTACATCAGCAAAACAGCACAAAATCTCAGCGACGCAAATGCGTCCATGTGCTGGCCAGCAAACCACAAAATACATAAGTGGTCTCCGACTGTTTCTTTTCCTGCTAAAATTCCTGTTCCAATGTAGATTAGTGATCATTGTAAATGAAATTTTCAATCGTAAGTGGGGGAAATTGTGTTTCACTTTTACGCCAATCCCAGCCAATTCAAAATAGATGCTGATTGACTAGTCACTCAGTGTTATGGTAGATTTACGTTAACTTGGAATTCAGGCCACATTCCTCTGAGTGGTGTCTTACTGAGAGGGAGGATCTACTACTAAGTTAATTTCAGTCCCTCCAGCTGGTTATTTTTAGCTGATCTCGTGAAATTCTGTTTTTTACTTCATACAATAAACTCCCATCCTTTTGGGTACATTTACTTGGCTAGCATCGATTCCGCGAACCACATTACCGTATGTTACACTTTCACGGACTGTCGTTCTACACTGCACGTGAGAACCAACAGAAGAACAGTAATACACTGCAGTCGTGGACACCGACTCGCATATACGGGGATAAATGGGGTCGCTTACGCATACAAAACGGATGCAAGCTCCATACAGGCTGAATGACTGAGCAATCTTTATTAGTATCACTGACCTCTGTTGTGTCGCGTCACCGACGACCATGTCCCATCCCCGGCATTGGACGACTAGCACCAAATTTTTATTGAAACGGTGAAGTCCATTGACAAGCCCCAGATTACTGCACGTTCTGAATTCACCAGAACAACCACCTTTCACTTCGAACGGTCTTGCCAACGGTCACTGAAGAGGAAGTTTAGAGTATCAGTGTGATACACTCAACTTAATTACACATCTCATTGGTAGATGCTCGAAGAAACGGCCAAAAGCTAAGGTCGGCCAAATTACCAAACAGGAATGGCTTTCGGCCGGAGTGGCGTAAATCCAAGTAAATTTTGTGACGTACTGCTCTTAATAGCTGCCCTCATTGCGGCTCCCACACGTTTTGTTGCACGACACTGTTATCATAGATCAAACCATCTCATTTATTCGCAAATGCACGAGGTACTCTCTACCCAAACAGATGCCTGCAAGAGACACCAAACTGTCTGTCTGACGTGGCGTTTATCTATTTGGAAGAGGCGAGAATCATGGAGCACCTCCCAGTTATTCAGCAAAACTCTATAAAAAGTCTGGCTTCTTTGGATGTTTTCAGCGATAGACCACAGAATGCGACAAAACTCTTCACATCAAATACAGTGTGTCACCAAAAATTGAAGAGGCATGAAGTTGTTGAAATGGGACATGTAGGTGATTTATAAGGTTATTTTTCATGTTCGCCGTCGGGCCCCACCTTAGTCGAGTGAACAATTGTCCTACTTGCTAGCTAGACCTACGATGGACAATGAAACTGAAGTGCGGGCACATGCCAATTCAACCGCATCGCTTATTTTACTGCCTGGCCTCTGTGGCATCGATAAAAGTTAGTTCCAAGGTTGAAATCGCTTAATTTTTAAAATGTTATTTGGGGTACATGGAGTAGCATCCGTAAAAGTCGGTCGCGTAACGAGATGATGCGGGTACCTGGAGAAACGTAGACTACTGTGTGGCAGACGACTTGCGTACCAAGATAAATGGCAAAGCGTGAATGATTATTATGTCATCAATGGAACCGGAGGGTGTATCCTGTCCTAAGGGATGAGGGGACATTCGGTAGGTATCGAGTGGCCATGGCAGCTGATGTAGCAAGTTCATCTCACTCGTGAATAAGTCAGGTGTTTGTCATGGAAGCCCATTAGTTGAAGACAATGGAACCGGTGTATCCTGTCCTAAGGGATGAGGGGACATTCGGTAGGTATCGAGTGGCCATGGCAGCTGATGTAGCAAGTTCATCTCTCTCACTCGTAAGTCAGGTGTTTGTCATGGAAGCCCATTAGTTGAAGAAGAGACTGGAACTTACCGTGGTGTGACGGTTTGCGCACCTCAGCGATCCATTGAGCTATACTGGAGAGTGTCCCGCGACACTCACAGAGTCTCTCATACCAGGTTGGTCAATGGTTAGAGGTCTGACGAACACAGTCTCCTGGCCCTCCAGGTTGGGGGTTGGAACATGTGGCGACTTGTTCCGTAGAAATGCTAATGCATTTGCATTT